GGTTCTACTAATCGCAAATTTGATTCTTCGACTGTGACGACTGTGTTGGGGAACAAATACTGCCCTAACATTCTCTTATAATAATATAAAATTATGAACTATAGTTATGCTACTTACCATATTTATAATACCAATCGACCTACAAATTTCCCACAGGGACATCAGTGAATAGTCATTGACCGTTGGACCTATATTCTGTTGCATGTCTACCGTAGACTATTCCGTAAGTAGGTAGGTACACCTATAAACAATTTACGTGTGACCATACATGATATTCTGTAGTTATAAATAAGTGTGGGTGGTGACTGGTGGGTTAGGTTAGCAGCGTTTTTTAATCTGGTGGATGAAGCTACAATATAGGTACTACCTCCTATTCCAATTTCCAATACATGCTACAGAATTACTACAGCCTTCAGGCAAAGTAATAACGTCACCCACGAGGCCACGTCACATCTTCTCCAATTGGCCTTATTTTTTTCATATAAAATATTATACGATAAAGCAATGTATGCTTATTTACCACACTATTAAATAATGTGGTCTGAGAATATTCAACAATTCATATCACTCTTTCAAAAAAGTTGAGCACGCCACCGCGGCTTGAGTATGCCAGGCGATAGTCAACCATAGTGGCGCAACAATCAGAGTTAACAAATCTTAAAATGGCTATAGCAATACCATATTATTAAATTTAAAAATAATCATACTGTGCCTAACCCCCTACCTATGTACTTATTCTATATACCTAATTTTAACTAAATCACCTTTAAATTATTAAAAAAAAAAACCTATACTTTTAATTATGTTTAAATGTTTTTCTTCGAGTACTTAATAGTTATTGTTATAGACTATAGTTATTATTAATTAACGATTTTAAAACATATTTAGAGTTTGACTATAATATTATCGTTATATTGAATATAGATAAATCACTAAAAGGGCCTTACAGTTAACTCTTAAGTGTCGGTTAAAACTAAAATAACTATATACATGTTCGTATAATTATGAAATAGGTTAGATAGGTACTAATGTAGTATATCATTGTATAACATATTATGTTTGTATATTGTTATTATTTTTTATGTGACATCGATCTAGTTTTACTTGGTTACGATTGGTTTTGCTGTGTTGACGAATCTGTTATACCAGTTGGCTGGGTTTTTTTTTTTATGAACCTGTAATGATATCATCAGACATCAGTTAATCTTTCAATATTATTAATTTTTGTTTTATCCTATAATTATATTAATTTACGTAATTTATTTTCTATTGTCTAAATATAATATATTGGTACCAAATTGTGTGATTTTCCGGATTATTGAAAAGGAAATTTAATGAGCACAAAAGTTGCTCAGGTTAGGTTAGGTTAGGTTAGGTTAGGTTCTACGTGTTTATGAGTTTTAGAAATATTTTTTTTTTTTGTGATATTTGGATTAATTAATTTTCTGGTACCTATACCTATAGTTGTAATCTAATATTTTTTAAGGGGATTCGATACCGTGATTTTCTGTTTTGTCTAACATACGCGTGACATAGTATTTTAGACGTGTTTTTTGCCAAACATTCCAATTGATCTATTGAAGCGATAAGATTTCTGAAAACAGATTTTAATTTGTCGTCAAGTCTACTTGAAATCGACTTTCCCACATTTTTGATTTTTTGATTTAAACTTCTCCAAAAATTGAAATAACAGAATTTTTAAATACTCTTTTTGAATATGACATTTAAAAAAATTTAGGGGATAATATCAAAAATGTGGGAAAGTCGATTTCAAGTAGACTTGACGACAAATTCAAATCTGTTTTCAGAATTCGTATCGCTTCATTAGATCAATTGGTATGTTTGGCAAAAAACACATCTAAAATACTATGTCGCGCGTGTGTTAGACAAAAACAGAAAATCACGGTATCGAATCCCCTTAAGATCCATAATAAATTCCTTAATTATACGTAAAATGTTCAGGTAATATGTTATAAATTACTTATATGTTATAACCAATTGATAATTGTGGTTTTTAACCACCCTAACACTTTCGATGGTGATCATGAAACAGAAAAAACTTTGATATTAGCTTTTTATATTTTTATAGCTATCCTAAGGGTATCTCGGAATAATCATTCATAATGAATTTAATATTGGTAGTCTTTTTTTTCATTAACAATTGGAAACTGAATTCACTATCTTATACTACAAATATTATAGTACCTACTATAGGTATTAGTACAACTAATATATAAGCCTACATAATTTTATTTAGATTTGTTTTGTACTACTTACAATTTATCCCAGAACCAATTTCAGCTAACTAGACACCAATTTAAATTAGCGCCACACTACTATTATTGTACAGGTAGGCTAGAGTTGTGCATAGGACAATATTTCATATAAGTACGTTCTTATACCTAGCGTATAATCGAAATTTGGTGCGTACTTATCTGAATGTGATTACTGATTAGTACATACATTAATAACTATCAACATATGCGTGTAAATATGCGCTTAAAATTACTAAAATATGTACTAAATGTGCATTTGTATTTTTTGCGTTTCAGAAAAAAAAAAGTTGGTAAATATAATAGCTCTTCTACGTCGTTATTCTCTACATCGGAGATAAAGTCTTACGCGGAATATTTGGTACCATAAATCTCATAAAGCAATATGAAATATTAGCAGATACCGTGTACAAATAGGTATTACAATTTACAAGTGTTTTTGAAGATAGGACATGTGATATATTATGAATAACTTACATTTTTTTTTTTGTATACAATAATTTTAAAAACATTTTAATTGTTAATTAAATAATGTATTGAAATTAATAGAAAATATAAACAAACATATATTATGCACTAATGACCATGTATGCATATCTTAATATTATCCTTAAGGGGCCGTTACAGTTACATTTGTTTTCTCTGTCTTACAAGTGCGTAACATAACAAATTTTACGGTCAGCAAAACACGTTTATCTCCCGTTAGTTTAAAAATTGGAGCGAATCGACCTCTTATACAATTTAAAGGCAAGACTATTATCTAGACAATGACATAGGCTTTTGATTATAATTTAATTTTAAAGCGAGTTATGTGTATTTTAAAACTGTAAACTGTTTGTACATCTTAAAATACTCATAACTCGCTTTAAAATTAAAATATAATAAAAAGCCTATGCCATTGTCTAGATAATAATCTTATCTTTAAATTTTATAAGAGGTCAATTCACTCTAATTTTTTAACTAACGGGAGATAAACGTGTTTCGCTGACCGTAAAATTGGCTATGTTACGCACTTGTAAGACGGAGACAACAAATATCACTGTAACGTCATCCATTTAATCAAAGTTACGAGATTATCAACTGTTACTGTCAGGGGCATGCATTTGAAAAAAAATTCCGTTTTATATTATTTACAATGAAAACGTTACACAGTTTATTCGTTTATCGCTATTTATAATTAAAACGTTATCCAAGTTTTGCGTTTATCGTAATTCAGAATATACTTGTGGACCATATAATGACATGAGGTAAAAAAATGCATAAAGATAATTAATTTGTTGGATCTCGTTATTGATTAAAGTATATAAATTAAGGGTGTACTGCAATTAATTATAATACATACATTTATTGAAAGCTGTAAGACGGACTCAATTAAATCACTATGCTAACGTTGAAAATTAAAATTTTTAATTTTATATGAAAAAAAGTAACCGGTTTTTAACTAAGTTAGGTTACTTATACTTTCTAGTTTGCTTGTAAATCTAACAAGTTTAAAAAAAAGAACAGCAACTTTTAATTTTAAACTTAGCTTTCATTTCTCTGTATTAACTTAACTTGATGAGTTAAAAAAAAAAATATTAATAACTTTCCAGCTTTGCATTGTATAATATATAATTTTTATATGTTCACACCAAACAATTGAAGGGCTTATAACAACAACCAGGTAAATCCACTTTTTTCGAAAAATAATTCGTTTATCGCGGGACGTTACTCTGCGCAACGGCCACACCTTCCCAATCATCAACCTTTCATCCATACAGCATTCAGGATAGGTTAGATTTTTTGGTTTCAGTATGAACTATTTATGAAGAACCTTCAATAAATTTTCAAGCCTTAGTTATAAAAATTCAACATTTAATACATTTATAACTTCACAATTATTTGGAAATTATTGGTGATTTTGATAAATTTGAACTTCAAAAGCTTATAAAAAAAAATCCACCATACGTATTTTACAACTTTTATATGGTTAATAATTAGTTATAAACAAATGTATCAGCATTTTAAAAATATATTCAAAAATTCTAAGGTTTTAAATTCAAATTATTACTAGAGAGACATAAAAAACGCACTTTTAAGCCCATTATCAGTATTGCCACCAACTATAACTAATAATGGCGGCTTACACAATAAATTTTTATTCATGACCAATTCAACAATGTCGGCGATGATTAAAAAAAACATCTACAGCAATTATAATATGATATACAATACAATTTGAAACTAAGCTATTGGCACCTCATATCTCAATATCCCATTTATACAAGGTAATATTATATTGGTTACACTTGTCAATTATCTTATTACCTACATAATGTCGAAACCTCTCTCTTTCTCTTTACGCTTAATTAATAACACTAATAAGTAGATTACATTTAAGTCTTCACAGTGAAATATTAAAAAAATATACTATAATCATAAACAAGTTAATAATTTATAAAACAAAAAAAATAAAAGTACCTTTTTAAAAAAGGCTAAAAATAAATAATTGTAAAATCTAAGACATTCTAAAATCATTATACAAATAAACCATATGCCTATAAAATAATGGAAAATAATTGTAACATTATTCAGTATTGTCGTTTCGAGTATTAAATATAGATAGAAATGGTTATTTTAAGCTGTATCATATAATATAATTTTAGATATAAATATATCACCTAATATTTGGTTAATCTAAAATTTAAAAAATAAGTCTATAATTAAACACTATAGTCTATAACAACACTACAGTTCGCTTTTTATATTAAAATTGTTTGGTGATCTCAATTTATTTAAACCAGATAATAAAGGTAGTTCACTCCAAAATTTATACTTCTCCTCGAATGGATTTTTCATAAGTTTTGGTTGGACTGAATCTATGTGCAGTAAAGCTGATTCTCCAATAGAAGTAAATACAGGCCAAACTTGTCCATTGTCAGTTCCATCAACAGTAGGTATTCTAAAACAAATAATTTGTTATGGTATGTTTCTTTTAATTTTAGTACCTACACAACTATAGGTAGTGAGTACAGCTTATTTTATCTTATTCGAAATTTGAAATTGTTGATGACTTATAAATAACTTAAATAGTAAATTATGTTAAATTTATTTTTATACCGGGTTTCAATATAACTGAACTTCTTAATTTAATCATCATACTCACTTAGATGATGCAAACTTGACCCAAATATTAACCATGAGCTTTGACACTTTTGTATCTTCGTCGTTTAATCCTTTGGGATTCAATTCCTTCAATTGAAACAAGCTAATCAATTCATCAGCGTGACTTACTCCAAGAGGCTTTTTACAATCACCATACAATTGGTTGAATGAAAACTCATTTTTATAATCAAATAAATAAAAATGGACAGGTGAAGATAATTGAATGCTCATGTCCAGAGAACACTTGATAAAAGTTCCGTCTCCGATCATCTATAATTGATAAAATAAACAATATATTTCAATGTTTGTAAGACCGATTTATTTATAAAATTATATATTATATAGTACTTTGACTGTATCCAAATGTGAGTTGCTCTCTATCTTTCCCGATGGAAAATACATTTCCATGATCCGATTACTAATTTCGTCAAAATGTTTAGGCATTGACACATGTTTGTACATTAATAAAATGGGCAACAGACGATTAATATCGGTAGACAGTTCCGGATATTGAAGAGAAGTTTCATTGAATAAAGCTGAAAATATAAAAAAATATTCAGGGTTAGATTGACATATTGGGAAATCGGGAACTTTTGGAAAGCATGGTTTATTAGTGGGTTACTCAATTTATACTTAATGATAATCAATTTTGTTTTGTAAAATCGCATTTTATAAATAATATTATGTTTGTACAATTATTGATATATTTAAAAAGTATATTATACGCTTTGAAGTGATGCATATCAATAATAATTAACATTTGCATACAAGTATCTTCGTTTGCTTCGCTTAACTCAGGTTAAAGCTTTTACAAATTTGCTCATCTGAGCTGTTCCTTTTGCACACGGTCAATCGACGCCCATACTCTAACTTAGTACGCACACGTTTACACACGACCCATAAGCACAAACACATAGGAAATTGCCTATATTGAACTCCTGAAAAATGGTCGGCATTGATTCCAAAACGTAAAATATAATAATATTGTTGCTTCTTATATTACTATATTAGTACCGAAAAACATTTTTTTTACCAAAAAATAAAATAAAAAAGGTTGCAAAGTCCTCCTTGGCTTTGTAGATACGTCACATATCTTTATATAAGTGTGTAGACGTGTAGTACGAAATTTAGATATCTGAATACCTTATACCTTATACGACTTGCTTATAGCTTACATATTACATAGTATGTAGATATTATAGGCATACGTAATAAAGTAAGCAATAAAGAAGGGTGGGGTCTAAAAAATATACTATGCAGACTGATTCTTCAACTTAAGACATTCAATTCTAGAACAATAATTAATATTTTTGAATTTTTTTACATAGTTGAGTCATTAAAAAAAATATATATATATATATTTTTAGAGCACATTTACCCCCTCCTATAATAGTCAAAGGAATTAAAGATTTTGGAAGCCTGCGCTCGGAACTTATAGATCTTGTGGGTCCTGATAATTTCATATTTAAGTCAAATATTAGCAGTCTCAAAGTTCAAACAAAAAATCCAGAAACCTACCGAACAATTATCCACTTCTTACAAGACGCAGATGCCGAATTTCACACGTATCAAATGCAAGAAGACAAAGCCTACCGCATAGTTATAAGAAACCTCCACCCAACAACCAACATAGCAGAAATCAGAACAGCCATAGAAGAAATCGGCTTTCAAGTTCGCCAAATTACGAATGTCCAACATAAGACTTCAAAAATAAATCTACCAATATTCTTTGTTGATCTTGAACCTTCAGAATTGAACAAAGACATATTTCATGTAAGCCACATACTTCATACTAAGGTAAAAATTGAAGAATCATTTAAAAAACGTGACCTAGTGCAATGTCTGAATTGTCAGAAGAACGGCCACACAAAAACCTATTGTGCACATTCCCCAAGATGCGTTCGTTGTGCCGATCATCACATCACCTCAGAATGTACAAAGCCACGAAATCTTCCTGCCAAATGCGCTCTTTGTCAGGGTGATCACCCTGCAAACTATAAAGGATGCCAAATTCACAAAGAACTTCAAAAACGTCGAAACCCAACCTCAAGAACTATCCATCCAACTTCAACAAACAATCAATCCAATCCAAAAACCACAGCAAAGGCCTCTTCGGTGGAATTCAACCCCTCATCCTCCAAAAATAGAACATATGCAAATGTAACTACAAACCATGAACCTACAATATCTGAAAACAGCAATAATTAGACACAGGTACCTTATTATCTAAATTTATTAGTGACTTCCAAGCTCTCATAAATCCACTGCTCTCCCTTCTTACAACAGTCCTTGCCAAACTTGCATCCCAAAATGATAAATAATACCCCAACCTCCAAATCACTGCTCATACTCCTTTGGAATGCCAATGGTATTCATAATCATATAGCAGACCTCTCACTTGTACTTCACGATAAACGTATAGATATAGCACTCATATCCGAAACACACATTACTAACCAAACAAAAATACATATTCCTGACTACACAATACTCAGATCAAACCACCCAGATGGCACCGCCCACGGAGGGGCGGCAATAATAATCAGATCCACAATTCTCTTTCACAACGTTTCTAAAGTAAGTGTACCTCACATACAATATTTCACCACACAAATTATATTAGACCATTCCCCTATCTCTATCTCTGCAGTATACTGCCCCCCTAACAAAATAATCTCACCAATATTATTTGAGCAATTTTTCAACTCCTTCGGGAACCAATTTATAGTAGGAGGTGACCTTAATGCAAAACATACTCAATGGGGATGCCACTCAAACTCACCCAGAGGTAATTCTCTAAGACAGGTTTGTATTTCCAAAAACTACTCAATCATTTCCCCCCAAAACCCGACATATTGGCCAACATCACCCCGAAAACAACCAGATATCCTTGATATATTCATCTCTAAAATACCGAACAGATTTAACACTAGCATAGACAATCTATCAAATCCCCACTCGGACCACTCACCAGTACTTCTCACCCTCGATACCGATCCACTAAAAAGACAAACAAATCCATCACTAATCAATGGAATAATAAACTGGGATGAATTCCAATTGACGCTATCTAGCAACATTAACTTTAACGTCAGCATAAAATCCTCAAACGAACTTGAGGAATCAATTCAACATCTAACATCTTCAATACAAAACGCAGCATGGTCCTCTTGTAAGCCAAAAAATCAAAATAACAATCAAAAGAATTTCCCATTACCTGCCTATTTAAGATCTCTTATTGTTCAAAAACGTCGAGCTAGAACAATTTGGCAGAGAACAAAATATCCCTCCGATAAAACTAAATATAATAACTTATGCACTCTACTTAAAAGACAAATGGCCAAACAACGCTCTGAAGACTTCACTAAACAAATCAGTCTCCTCTCTGAAAAAGACGGCTCACTGTGGAAAACAACCAGGAAAATCCTCAAAATCAAATCAATATCATTCCCAATTAAAAAATCTGACGGCAGTCTCGCAATAAATGACAAAGAAAAGCAGAAACACACAGACAGCACCTTTCCGAAGTCTTCACCCCTAATAATTTCACCATTCCTTCTATAGAAAACAAAATATATGATTTTCTAGACAGCCCGCTCCCAATAACTCTTCCACCCAAACTTTTCACCCCAAACGGGATAAAATACCTTATACAAAAATTTCCATTAGGAAAATCACCCGGACACGATTTGATAACAGCCGAAATAGTCCGCAAACTTCCAGATAAAGCTATAATACACCTCACTCATATCTTCAACGCAATCCTCCGAATCTCTCACTTCCCAATCCAATGGAAACTTGCCACAATTATTCTTTTCCCTAAACCAAACAAACCAATAGAAAACCCTTCTTCATACAGACCTATAAACTTGTTACCGTTCTTATCAAAACTTTTTGAAAAATTAATACTGACCAGAATTTACCCAATCATCAAGGAAAAGAAACTAATTTCTGACACACAATTTGGATTTAGAGAACACCATTCAACCATCCACCAAATACACCGTCTGGCTGATACTATTGCCTGTTCCCTAGAAAAGAAACTATACACTTCAGCTGTATTTCTTGACATTTCACAAGCCTTCGACAAAGTCTGGCACCCTGGCCTTCTTTTCAAATTAAAATCCTTCCTACCCCCGTCATATTATCTATTCTTTAAATCATATTTAAGCTAGCGACACTTCTTTGTTAGATCAGGGACAGAACATTCTAGTATCTCTCCAATCTTAGCCGGCGTTCCTCAAGGCGCAGTAGCATCTCCAACTCTATTTAACTTATACTCGGCAGATCAGCCCACCAATCCGAATACTCAAATTGCTGAATATGCCGACGACAAAGTCATATTCCCCTCTCACACCGACCCGGGTTTAGTTTCAACCTCTCTCCAAAACCACCTAAATGACTTATCATACTGGTACTCTCGCTGGCGTGTCAAAATAAACGAAAGTAAATCTGTACACACTACCTTTGCTCTCCGCCACAGCCAACCTCCTCCAGTGCAAATAAACAACAAACCTATACCAAACTCCGATACAGCAAAATATTTAGGTCTAGTTTTCGACAAACGTCTAACGTGGGCCAAACACATTCATGCAACAAAAATAAAATTAAACAAACGACTCTACGCTCTCAGACCCATCCTTGGTAAGTTCTCAAAATTATCCCTCCGAACCAAAATTCACATATATAATCTCCTCCTTAAACCAATATGGTTACCAATACAGTTCTGGGGCACTACCAAAAAATACCAAAAGTGTTCCAATCCAAAATCCTTAGAATTATAACCAATTGTCCTCCTTATATCTCTAATCACACCCTTCACACAGATCTCCATATTTATAAAGTCACTGAAATAGCCAAGTTATTTTACTCCAAATTCAGAAACCGCCTTCATAACCACACAAACCCTCATGTTAAAAAGTTACTATCTATCTCCATTCCTGGAAATCCCCCTAGAAGACTCAAGCGACAATGGCCTCGAGATCTTATAAATTAAAATCATAAACCTAAAATCATAAAATCATAAATAAATTATAAATTCACGCCGAAGTGCCTTCGCTGGTTGGTTCTTCCCTCTTAATACTCAAGCTCATAAATTATAATTTTAAAAATAACCATCATTTATGCTTATTGTACTTTTTTTTTTTATGTACAGATTGTATAGTTTCTAGATTAAAAATAAAAATAAAAAAATATATATATAATTTTAAACAACTATTATTTTTATTACTTCTGTCGGTTTAAAATTATACTTAAAACTGTAAGTTAATTAGGTAGTTTTAAAAGTTTAAATGCGTGGGAGTTTGCTTCTTGAATACAAAATTACTAATAAATTCAATTTTGAAACTTTTTGTATTTGTTGACATTTTTGATTAATCAGGTCTTTTTTGCCTTTTTAGGTATTGTTTTTAAATTTTTATACTCTTTTCGATATTAATGATTTTCGTCTTACAAACATTTTACATAATCTGAACACACGTCGTATTTAATCAATAATATATCTTTAATTTTAAATATCTTTCACCTGAAATATTTTTATATTTTTAAAACTATGAATCGTTTATTTACTTACAATGAATTTTATACTGCATTTTTGATATTTAAATGCATTTAGAAGATCTGGTACCTAGTGCATTTTAAACTGTTTTTTTACAGACTTTAAGAGCATTTTTAAAGTTTTTTAAACCGTTAAACTGACAGATCTACTTATAATTAATAGTATCTAGGTATTAGAATATACATTTAAATATGTATTTACTATTTTGTCATTCAAAAAATTGCAAAATTTATAAAACGATAGCGATAAAATATAGTAAAAGTTTATTTTTTCAAGTACCTATTTTGTTTTTATAATGACTTCAAATTACGTAAATAACAAAATATTTTCAAAAATGTTAATAGGTATTTTATGAAATATTACATTATAATGAGTGAGCGTTGAATGTCTTACGTTAAAAAATCTTCCATGTAATCAAGGCCTCATAAATATCATGTTTCATCCATCAACTAAAATAACCGGTTTCTGAACTCAAATTTAGAAATAATTAAGGTCGCAACACACTGCAGCGGTGGTGAAATCGTGTCCGGACTCATTTTTCCGTAACCGCTACCGCTGCATGTAGTGTTTGGGGACCTTAAATATGCTAACGCCAAAGCTTCGCCTATAAGCTATATCATAATATAATAAATAATAATTTAATATTCATGATGAAAAAAAAAATTATGGTACCTTAAACTATAAAGGTTCTTTATTGGTTGGCTTATTGCTTATTTTAAAAAAGATCTTCATAATTGACATAATAGGTAATACAGTTTAAGTTAACTGTTTGATATTAAACTATCCAATTGGTAACTATACTTACATGCTACAAATACACCACCTTCACCCGAGTTCCAACCAATAACTACAGGTACATCAGATTCTTGTTTAAAGTCAGTAATTGGATGATTACATAGGAACGATTCCTGGTTTGAATCACATGATTCAACCACAGGCGGAAATATTATGTATGGATAATTGATCCATTCCTGAAACATGAAACACTAATAATTATTTTACCTAACATTAATTTACATAACAAACAAGGAATATGGTGTGTTATTGCGTGTTTCGTACATTACGATCATACAACAATAACAAAAAGATGTATGTGAGCTTATAATTTTGATTTTTTTTTTAGATGAAATCCTTCTTATTGTACCTTGTTCGGCACTAACTGACGATACAGGAGAGATAAAGGCGCCCATGGAAATGTAATACTTACGAAAAATTTATTATGAAGTTCAACCATATAATTAGCTGGAAGTTTTTTTAAACATTTCAATATTTCTTCAGAAGTATCGGAATTACATCCAGCGATAGTAGCAACTGCTTCGGTACGTTTTCGGACCAACCCAGGTGGGGAAACAGCCCAACAACACAAAGGTGTACCACTCTGGAGTATGGCTTTATGGAACAGGCCTTTACTTAACGGAGATAATAAATGATATCCTGCACTGGCACCACCCGCGCTTTGGCCAAATAGTGTCACCTGCCCGGGATCACCGCCAAAGTTAGCAATATTTTCTTGGACCCAACGTAAAGCCATGACTTGATCTTTGAGTCCATTGTTACCTGGTATCACGTCGTCTTCGGTGCTCATAAATCCTGAATAATAACATATTATTAATAAAATATTAATATCAGTTTGGTTACACAAATCTTACCAAATAATCCAAGCCTGTAGTTTATAGACACCAAAACAACATCATTGTCCATAAAATATTCAGGTCCAAATACATTTGACCCGCTATGACCAGCAAGGAATCCTCCACCGTGTATCCAAAACATAACAGGAAGTTTTCCTTTTAGATTTGGTGTGTAGACATTCAAATATAAACAGTCTTCCTGGCCAAGTATTAAGTGTCTAATTGCCGGGATAAAATGGTTATTTTGAGTACACATATTTGATTCTTTGGTGGCATCTAAAATACCCCCCCACGAATCCACCGTCACTGGAGGCTACAATCAATCGTAAAATATAATTATAAAGGTTTCATTGTATCTTATTATATATTATATTTCAATGAAATTTACCTCAAATCTAAGTTCATCGACTGGTGGCTTTGCATATGGTATGGCGGTAAAAGAATAAAAATCTCGGCCATCTCTCGATTTTGAAGTTAGTCCTTGAATTGCACCTTTTGTAATCCTTACTACTGGATCACAAATTACTGCACTCACAAATAGAATGCTAATAATAGAAGTCACCCACATTTTTAACCTAAACATTAAATAATCGTTCAATAAATAGCTATGTGTAAGTATATAAGGTGATTCATCAAACGTGCCCATCCTCATTTTCCTTAAATAATTAATGTATTCAAATTCTGAGTTTTGGAATTTTTAAGTATACTTAAGAGTTAAGAACCATATTTTTAGGTACTTAGAAATTAAAATGTTGATAGTACTTGAAGAGGTCCTGTGGTGATTGAAACTTCTTTTTTTAAAATAAGAATCAACCTAATCTCTTGTAGTTATTAATGTGTTTAAAAACATATTTATTTTATATTTTTCATAAATAGTAGTTTATGAATTAATGGAAGTTAAGTAGAAAAAAAGTTTACTACTACCAATTTTTTTTATGTTAATTATTATTTATTGTGTATTCGGTGTTTACACCAAACATTTTAATCAAATAATTATAATCAAGAATTATTTAAAATAACTTCTTTTTTTTATTTTATAATTACCTATTTCAAAATTATGTAGGTATCGGTGTTCAACGGTGTTCAAGTAATGGTATGGAAATGTATAAAGAAATATTAAACTCATACATTATATTATATAGGTACACACTACACACAAGCAGATATTTACAAAGAATATAATAAATTATATTATAATATATAAACGAAGGATTAAACGGTTCTGTTGCTGTCATGACCCCAACTAACCACATTCTGAAGGTATTCTTATTTAAACGCAACAATATCAAAAATTGGGGAGTATCTATAGAGCAGGTGCTAAACTGCAGGTGTGCTTACAAAATAAAAGCAAAACCAATTTATCTGCTAAACAAAACAAAACTAAAATAAATATTATATGATTTGGGGGGTGGCCAAATTTTGTTTGATTGATATCTACTGAGAATACATTTTTTTCCTTTGAGGATCGACTGACGCAAACAATTTTTATTTTGGTTTTAATAATAAACATACTTAGGAATATAAATAATACAATTTGTGTAAAGTGATCTAAAAATGTGATTGTTTTACATTAGATTTCTAAATAATGTCAAAATAAATTAACATTATACTGTTGGTGTAGAAGCGTATCATTGCGTATCGTTGGCTATTTAATTACATAATCTGGAAAATAGTTGCTAGCTGCTAAATGAAGACACTGCTCTAAATGATCATCAGAAAACGTAGCTCGGTATTCAGCTTTTATAACTTTCGTGTGAGAAAATGTCATCTCACACAAACAGGTTGATCCGGAATATGTATGTAACTGTGTCGGTTCAATTTTATTTCATCTTCCTATTTTATGTAGGTACCTAAATAAATAATACAATAACATGCCCCTTAATTATTGTTGGTTAGGTACCTGTTGATACACACCTATTGATTAGAGAATATAATAACTTACTAAAATTTATAAAATGCTTTCTTTTGAAAGAATTATTATATACTGATATACTGTTATACGTACCTAGCTAACAATTAAACCAATGTTGTTTGTATTATCTAGCAATACAAATTAGAATCTAAAAGATAAATGTAATTTGTATACAGTTCCAACATTTATATCAGGTAAACAAACTGAACAATAATAACATTACACTTATGCACACACTTTTACCAAAATAAACTTACAATTTGATAAATTAAACATTAATTTCATAAAGCTTAATATTATAACACGTTAATAAATAAAGATATATTTTTAATTTTAATTAAATAGGTAAACATTCAATAGGCACAACCCACAAATAGACCTTTCAAATAAACTAAAATAGTTTAACCAACGAATATTTCTGATCAAAAAATACTATTGTTATTAGCTACCTATTGAAGGTTTTCATTGTATTTGTCAAAATACTTAAATACCTATGTTCAAACGTTTTGTTAACAAACGAAACGTATTAAAAAATATAATATTAATATTAATAAATTAACTGTAGGAATATAATTGCTCTTAAACAAAAATCTCAAAGGCGAAAATAAGTTTTAAAATAATTAGTTATAGTAGTGTGTTAGCAAGCTACTTACGATTATCGAGTTGTAATTCGTTTAGTTGCCGCTTTCGTACTGAAGGGCGACAGCGTAGGTATTAACTATTTGGGTGGCAGTATTGTGCTAAACAGTTCCCACCCGTTCCTGTTTTTTTTTGTTTAAAAAAAAAAAAAGGTTTTAACTATTTAATGTTATAAGTGTTTAGAACCGTTTGTAGAGAGACCTGCATCACTTGACGACGGCCAGCGATTGTCTGATTGAGAAAGAAACTTGGTCTTACCCGTCCCAACTAGATTAAAATAGTTAATATAAAAGCCTACTAGCTCAAACATTGACGTCGACCGCTTAATATATGATACACCTACATTTTTCAATACGTTAGATTATTCATTTTTTCCCATTTTATTTTTCATTGAGTTTCCGTCAAAATCTAATTATAATCGTTCTAGAACATTGTTTAAACTAAAATACATTTCCGAGGAACTGTACATAGTATCTAATACAATAATGTAATAGTAACATATTATTATATTAATGGTTCCCAAACGGGGCTCCACGGTCCATACGAAAATTAAAAAAATATTTACAATATATAATTTTTTGTTGATTTCAATATGAATTTTTTAAATATAATTTGACTTTATTCGTATACTTATACGGCACTGTGTGTACGTTGCGTAAATTCAGATAACATTACAACTTCCCAGGAACGGTTTTGTTTAGTTTTGTTAGCTTTCGTACTTAGCTGATATTTTTACCAGGTTTAACGAGCTTAAATTGATTATCAATGAAAACTAGGATTTCTTTGCTCACGTTCCTAGTAGAACTCACAGCAGGGCGCGGCTGAATTTACTGCAAAAGAGGATACCGCCGGCTAAACGATTCAAAAACAATGTGTTATAATATTATTACAGGTTTTCATAGTAATTATGACTTCTCTAATTATGACAAAAATATCATCCCGTCTGCTATTATACTGCGGCCAATTATTGAAAAAAAAAACCAATTGTGTAAAATAAATTGTAAATACAATTGTGTAATTGTGTACCAACTGGGATATACAATTTCGGATATGACATGAATGACATATTTTATTTACATAGAAATAATAGTAATAACCTGTTAATTATTTTATTAAATGTAATAAACTAATACCTGTACATATACCTATATTATTATGGATAATAAATAATAACCTAGTGGGAAGTGTGTCATAATACAAACATTGTTAGGTACCCTACATTTATAGCTGTGTTGACAATAAATTATAATAAATAGGCAAAAGTTTCAGGTGAGCTATTAAAAATAGAATTTTGTTCTAGTGCAGTGTTTCCTAAACTTTTTGACACTACGCACTAATTTAAAAACTTGGTAATAATAGTAATATTAGTAATATCACTAAATTAGTAATGAACCTTAGGTTTTTATTGCTCAAGGTAGACTTTTTTCACATATTTTAAGTATTAGAATTAATTAAATAAAAGGAACTTTCCAACAATAATGTTCATTTATTTTTGCTTTATTAACTTATTTTTAATTGTTTCTATGTAAGAATAATTTAATGTAATAAATTATCACGATTTTTGAGCTTGGCTTTTCCCTTACACGTTTTGGAATCTGATATTAATCTAGCTACTTTGGCTTAAAATTATAATGAGCATTTCGTCTTTTTAATACTATTTTTTAGCTACATTTAGATTTATTATTTATACCAAAAAAGAAAAAGATGAAAATGGAAAAAATTAAATATAATTATACAGTGAAAATGTCAGATTAACATGTCAATAAAATGCTCAAATGGCTTAAAAACAAAAAAAATGAATCAAAATTAATTTTTTGAGATTAAAACTGTAATGTATTTATACTATTTGATTACTTTTGGAGTGTACACATTGAGATATAGACAGTCCTCTGAACCGACTAGGATATCAGCTTGTTGATAATAAAACAAGTTCCTCTGAATACACACTTGTGGCTCGGTAGCATTTAAAATACCTATCCACGGATCTGCTGGTACTGGAACCTAATAACAATAACCGCAATTGCATTTAAGGAAATTTTAATACTGGCTATTTTAAGGAGTTTAATATAGGCAATTGTGTGTCCAAGACTCAAGTCTTAAACAAACATTAGTGGATGTAGATTGAATTTATTACTAAAAATGTAATAAAATGTATTACTACTCACTGTAACGCTGTACCTACTCTACTAAATAAAGTTTTTAAAGGATATTTAGTTATTTTACATTACTACCGAAAGTATATTTTACCTTAAACCTAAGATCCCCGGTAGGTGATTTGGCATAGGGTATTCCCTGAAACGCTTTGATTTCTCGTCCATTTCTTGACTTCAAACTACTACCAGTTAATTTTCCTTGGTCTAATTTGTAACACTTCATCCGCTCCAAATACAAACCCGAAAAACAATGAGAAAATAATAAATTTTCCCATTTTACCTGAAATAAAAAAATGTATAACTAATTACAAAATATTGTTATATTAAGTTTATGACACGGAATTCCCATTCATAAATAATAATTTGAAGTTACAGATTTACTTTAATTCCTATACAAATGTGTTTATGGAATTAAAACCAAATTTATTATGAAAACTTGAACCATTGTCCATTAACGAGGATAATGTATATTAAATATAATTTCTTATAAATATTAAATGAATTAATTAATAGTTCAGAAAAATCAAAAATATAACGCTTACTTCTAACTTAGAAAGTATATTGAATTTTATATATTTTTTTTTCAGGACAGTGAAGTTTAATTTAAATAAATATCTTATAGATAAGTTATAACCTATATTATTTATTTATATTTTCATTTTATAAGATATTGATAGCTATTAATTTATATGTAATTTTTTTATATATTAATTTATAAATTCAATTTATCATGCTAAATAGGTATTACTGAAATTAGTATGGTTTTAGAATATATAAGCCTAAAAGATTTTTCATTCTTAAAGCTTGCTTCATCTTTTTGTAATACATTTTTTTCTTATTTTAAAAAGAAAAATTCTTTGTAACACTGTTTGACAAATATATGTACCTAATGGCTAATTGTTTTGTTGTATTATATTAATTTATATAAATTTATTATTAATTAGTGTAAGTTATAAATTATGGTATGATATAGTAGTACAATATATCATATTTCATAGATATAGTTATTCGAGCTAATACTATATTACCAAATACCTTCAACTTTCATAGCAAGTATTGTAAATCGTAATTAAATCTGGGTGTTTTAGGCTGAATAGCATTTGGCTATGGTTCAATTAATTCTTTATTAATTAGGGGTTAAATTACAAAATAGTAAATACTGAATGATGTTCCTCCGTGTCCGGGGTAAAAGGATGTTTCGTCCCCGTCTATTATTAAAATAGGACATTTGGCCTCCCGGGGGACCAAACGTCCTGTAGTTGTAGTTAAATAACATCATATTATAACTCCAGAGGGCCAAAAGCCCTATCTTAATAATTTATGGGGGTGAAACATCTGTGGACTCGTTTTCTCTACGTGGATGGAACGTCCCTGATTCCGTGTCCGGCTTTTGTTCATAAATATGATGAGAAAATATTCCATGAAAGGTTCATAACCGGAATCCCGGGTTAAAATTTGAAATCGTGAGCCATGACTAAACTTGTTGTATACATCATTCTAGGTTCATGTTACAATTAATCGTATTGCATTAATTACGATTAAAGATATTATATACATATCTTTAGTCGTGGTATTCATTAATATTGTTGGCTGCTCACATGAAGACCATAGAGATTATCTCTAGTCTTCATGGCTGGCGGCTGCAGACTGCAGTTACCAGTTATTGCTATTGCCGTGAAATTTCGGGAAAAGATACTCACTGATCGCTGTATCTCAAAAACTACGCAACGTACGGACTTGAAATTTAGAATAGAGGTTCTTCTAATATTTTCACCGTGCAATAAGAAAGGATTTGCTGAAATTCGCATTTTGGTATAACTTTGATACTTTAGAGTTAAATCATACACTTACGTACAAACACAACTGGGTCTGCGATCTACCTCAGGTAGATTGCCTACCCGATATATACTGCTGCGAATCGGAATTTTTATTCCAGGCAACAGAATAGTTAAGACAAATTTTGAACACCATACACTGAATTTTAAATAACGAATTGAACAAAGTTTGAGTCATATAGAGTTGGTACATTTAACCAGCAACGAAGTGCACAGGATCAGCTAGTATATTATATAATTTATTATCGAAAATAATATCAAAATACGATGGTGTCAAATTATCCGAAAATTTCAATTATTCTGAAAGGCACACCATTTAGGACTCGGCACTTATAAGGGGCGATTTCAAACGACCATGGCACCGCAAGTCTTCGACTCCACCCAAACAGCGAAAAACGAGGTATAATTATTAAAATTTTTTTTTGCGATATCTTGAGCGAGCATTTGCCTGACACGTTTCACGACATTAGTTTAGGCGCAGGTGATCCAAAATCGAAATGTGAAAGTTTAAAGTTTCAGCGACCTACCCCAATAACGAATTCCGTTTTCAGAAATTTGTTCAACTCCCATGTTTAGCACGTCATTATTGGCATGTAAATTTGCCCTTCGGCTAGTGAAAACCATTTTTCTAATCCGCGCGTTCCAGCGAAATATTTGGATATCTAACAATTTTTCTGCGTCATTATTTTTAGCACGTATTGTCGTAATGTAGTAGGTAGGTTAGGTTCCTTAGCGTGCAAATTGTGAAATGTACCGTGCGAATTCTTGCCGATTACACGTTAAATAACACATTTTTCGTAGTGGTGAGGTCGGAGCACGGTTATCTACTAAGGTTGGAGCTCGCTACTATGTTCCCCATGTTATAGCCATGTCGAAGTGGCGTAACTAGTGAACTAAAAGCGCTAGTAGTAGTTGGCCCGGTTTTAATATATAATGAATAGGACAAACAACTTTTTTTTTTATTTAATATTTATAAACAATTGTGTTGTAATAAATAAGTTAGTTAATTTTAATAATGAATTTTATTTTTTATAGATTAGATGACTTTAAATTTTTAATTACTATAATAAAGTATTTAAAAACAAAATATTACGCGTGTATTGTGATAGAAAATTGATATCACGTTTTCCCTCCAAAAAACTAGCAGATAGTATTCCTCGATATTAATTATTATTTTTCGAGTATTTGTGTTAGATAAGATTAAAGATTTATAAAATGGTCAAATTGGTTTATTTCATTCAAATGAGGTTACGGCAATACACATATCAAGAAAACCTTAAATTAAAAAAAGTATCAAGAGAAAAAAAGAAAATATCGAAATTATATAATACATGATAATTAAATTACATTAAAATATTAAATACTTGCTTATACTTGCTTGGCTTTTGCTTATTGCTTTTAACAATTAGTGTATTAATTCTTAAAAAAAATATATATATAATATGTTGAAATAAAAATAATTAATGTTTCTAGGATTCGAGAATTTAACATACAATTCATGGAATGATTGGGAGTAGTAGTACAAATGATCAATTGAAAAGGTCGTATCCCATTTCGCCGCGGTACCATTTCGCCGCCAAATTAATCCCATTTTGCCGCCGACCCATTTCGCCGCATAAAATTATTTTTGTCTTAGAACATGGTTATGAATTTGTGATTTGAAAAGTGATAAATAGATACAGAGAAATATTTATCAGATATATTTATTGTTTGAAACGATCTTAGTGCTATACTATCTCAATTCTGAAGTTATCGATTGATAAATCCCCAATAATTATATAAATAAAATAGAATGAATAGTGTGTCGTCGCAGCGATAATTGCAAAGTTACCACAGTCAGTGTCATATGATTATCACCAGTACGTATTTAAATTGAGGATGACATGAAACTTCTTCAACGTGGAAAAAAAGTAAAAAGAATTTACAACAAATATGTTAAGCTGGAACAAAGAATTTGTAGTCTTAAAGAAAGAGTGACGAGCGATCCTCCGCAGATGAAATGGATTGATTATTTGGACAATATTAGTTATTTAATTAAACACAATGAATAATTTTTGAGTAATCATAGTAAAGCATAGTTTTATTTTTGTTTTGTTATGTATTTCTGTTACACCTTGTATAATAGTTAAGCAAATAAAAAAATCAGAATATTTAGAAAACAATTTTTTTTTTATATATAATTATTGAAGATATATTTAACTTTTTTAAATACAATAATTAATGCAGGATTAAACAAAAAATGTCAATACGTATATTATAAAACGTAAAGGTATAACAATTAATAGGTAATACTAAACTATAGGCGAGTATAATATATTATATAAATATATATTTAGTTGAGGTGTGGAAGAAAAGAGTTTTTACTAGTTCTGACAGTCATGATTATTATGCATTTATGCAAATATCAATGCGTTCAAAACACTGGTGTTATCTACCACGCATCAAAATCTCATAGTTCACACTTCACGTCATTACAATAGGAATATTTAAAAAAAAAAATAGTATAAAAAATCAAATTATTTTGCAGATTTGGGATAATATTATTATGAGTATTATCAATTGATGAATTAATGATTCATTTGAAAATATTATTATTACTTATTAACTACAAATAAAACAATGAATAATTGTTGAGTAACCTTAAGTTGAGCGATAAAGAGTTACTTAAAAAATAAATTCGGCGAAATGGAACTGCGAAAAAATAAATTCGGCGAAACGGTACCGCGGCGAAATGAAATGGCGGCGAAATGGGAACTGACCTTGTACATGTGATAAGGTGCCGTGCTCCAACCTTAGTAGATAACCGTGTCGCTGACCAAACGACGACGGTCGTCGGGTCGTGTAATATCTATATAGAAATATGGGGTATTTCCAAGAAGCGCTTGAGAATTGACGATAACAATTTTACAATTATTAATTAAATTTATAGACAAATATTTTTAACAAATAAAACACTATAGGTTGTAGAATAGTGTGAAAATAATACCTATGACAAATAAACGCAAACCTGATAAGGATACATTAGTCCGACTTGCGACTTTCGAAGAGTTGAGGGAGAAAATGACCATAGTAAATAATATATATATAACAAATCAATATGTTAGTAGGTATATAATCGTGGTTTATTATAATAGAATAGAATAATATTAGTACATTTTCAATAACATATGCAAAAAAAAAAAATGTATAACACAAGTTTGCAACTTCCCTTTAAGCATAAGCTTTCTGGAAAAGGCGACAGCGCAATGGCCCCTTGAGGCACACGTAACTGAGCGGCAACACAAAACGGAAACAGCTAGTTAATACTTAATTATTCGACTAACTCAAATAAAGATATAGAGTTAGACGAATATTATATCAAAAACAACGAACGGGTTGATCGGCGACTGACTTCCGGTAGCACAGCCGCGACCACTATGGTAATTTAGCTCATTCCATGTCCACAAAAGTACGGCAGGAACAAAGTCTGCGAGCCGCGTTTACCAGACCCTTCCAGATGAACCGTCTTGATCTTGTAAACGCGGACTTGCGACGTTCAGACCTGGCCGGTTTCTGGGGCATTTCAGCTGGTTCCGGTTGGACGGTATTCACTCCGTCGTTCAACACGGGTGCCTGCAGACTTCCCAGCTCTGAGTACACGGGCGATTCAAGTTTGAGCTCGGGTGAGGACCGGAAACCATCACCATGACTTCGCCGCAACGGAAGACCGACGCCCGTGACCCTGCGGTCAACTGCGAGATTGAGCGTGTCGACAACGCACCGACTCTCGCTGCAGGTGGACTGGGATTTTCGGTGTTCAGACCGTGCCAGGATTTCCACTGGTTCCGTAGGGACGGTATTCTGAACTCCGCCGTAGACAGATGACTGCGTTTCCAGACTGACGGCTTTCGTATCTGCAGTCACGGGAAAATCCGGAAAACCCGTCGACGTCGATGCGGCGGCAACCACCACGGTATTCACTCCATCTTTCAACACGGGTGCCTGCAGACTTCCCAGCTCTGAGTACACGGGCGATTCAAGTTTGAGCTCGGGTGAGGACCGGAAACCATCACCATGACTTCGCCGCAACGGAAGACCGACGCCCGTGATCCTGCGGTCAACTGCCAGATCGAGCGTGTCGACAACGCACCGACTGTCGCTGCAGGTGGACTTGGATTTTTGGGGTTCAGACCGTGCCAGGATTTCCACTGGTGCCGTAGAGACGGTATTCTGAACTGCGCCGTAGACAGATGACTGCGTTTCCAGACTGACGGCTTTCGTATCTGCAGTCACGGGAAAATCCGGAAAACCCATCGACGTCGATGCGGCGGCAACCACCACGGTATTCACTCCATCTTTCAACACGGGTGACTGCAGACTTCTCAGGTCTGAGTACATGGGCGAGTCAAGTGTGAGCTCGGGTGAGGACCGGAAACTATCATCTTGACTTCGCCGCAACGGAAGACCGACGCCCGTGATCCTGCGGTCAACTGCCAGATCGAGCGTGTCGACAACGCACCGACTGTCGCTGCAGGTGGACTTGGATTTTTGGGGTTCAGACCGTGCCAGGATTTCCACTGGTTCCGTAGGGACGGTATTCTGAACTCCGTCGTAGACAGATGACTGCGTTTCCAGACTGTCGGCTTTGGTCTCGGCAGTCACGGGAAAATCCGGAAAACCCGTCGACGTCGATGCGGCGGCAACCACCAAGGTATTCACTCCATCTTTCAACACGGGTGACTGTAGACTTCTCAGGTCTGGGCGCGAGTACACTGGTGAGTCAATATTGAGCTCGGGTGAGGATCGGAAACTCTCACCAAAATGTCTGTGCCTCAATTGGAAACAAACAGCCTTGATCCGCCTATCGACTGCCAGATCGAGTGTGTCGAAAACACATCGATGACCCTCGCTGGCACATTGATAGCATGTTGAAACTTCCAAGTGGGCTTCCATCTCTTTAAGGTTTTGCAATAGACGAACGTCGTAAGTACAGAAAATTACGAACTTTGCTGTGGAGCTAAACACTTAATAATGGATATTTTCATATAATGACTTGTTTACAAAAATAAATAAACGATATTAGGTAGTGTTATTTTTATAGCTTCTATTGTGGCCAGTAGGTATAGTTAGCTTGTATAGCCAGCTAGTAATAATATGTAGCAGATAGGTACAATTGAATCGTAATTTAACAAATAGTTTTGTTGAATAAAAACCTACGCGAGCAAAACGATACCTATACCGGTCTTAGCGCTATTGGAATCATATCACATGGTTTAGATGAATGAAGTATATAGATTTCAATTCAACAAACTTGTTTTACACAATAATTATAATGATTATTTCTTACATATTTTAGAAGCGTGTTTAAGAGATATTTCATTACAATATTGTTAGTCTTAAGTACGCGCCTATCAAATCACGTTGACGTGAAGTGCTCATTTTTAGTCAAAATATATCTTGCAAGTTTAAACTGATTTTTAAATGTATAATTATTAATAATTGTTAGTTATTAGTGAGTGGATAATTAATTTACATCGTTTATGGAATATTTTTTTAATAATTAACGTGTCCAAATAAGAGACCATCAAAATGCATTCGATCACAGTTGAACTTTTAAAAACTGGATAACCACCAAACTCCATTGACTTAATCTTCACGTACTCTATAAGAAGCAGTTATTATTTATTGTCATGTAATAATATAAATAGGTAAGTACATAATATATACTTTTAAACGAAAATAAAAATAATAAATAAATGTATTTAGTAATAAGTGGAATAAATGATATATAATATTATATTCCCATAAAATCAGGGGCGCATTAAGGGTTCACATATGGGGGGCAAAATTATTTTGAGCCCCTGGTGTATTTTATGAATATTAATGAAAATATAAAAAACTTAAAAAAAATTTCCTCGCTGCGCTCCAAAAATTAAGTTAGTACCTTACATTTCATACAGTTATTATACCTACATAGATATCTTATTAAATTAATTACTAAATATCTATTAGGAACTTGGAATAATAATCCATTCTTTTAAAATAGTACTGGTAATTGGAATATTTATTATGTAAAATGTTTATATTTCATTAACTAATAAATACCTCCTAGTAAGCAACTCCTATATTTTAAGTTATTTATGGAGTACCTATGTATTAAGCATTGACTTATAATAATAAATATATCTTTATTCTTTATTAACAATAAAATATTATTACATATTATAAAACTATTTAAATGACAAATATGGAACAATACTAATTAAAATATTTTCTTATTTTTTTGTTCACAAACTCTTTTATAATACTTGACCAATCAATACTTCTTCATCTCATTTTCTATTGACAGCCATAGGCGCACATTGGGTGTGAATTCAGGGGGTGCTGGGATAATTTATGGTTCACACCTCCTAATCATAATATTTCTGCATTGCATTAGATTTAATTTGTATAGCGTATACAATAATTTCTAAAGTGCAATGTATCAAATAGTCTGTATGATTGTAAAGAAGACGCTAGGTACGCTAGGTACACCCACATGTGTTGTCTCCGTATTACAGACGTAGTTACAACATAGGCAAAACTGTTTTGCACGGGTATAAAAAACATTCAGGCTCTATTCTAAGCTAAGAAACTAAATGTTCACACTATAAAAATGAGAAAATTTACTCTGTAACTTTGTTTTTATATTTCCGATATCAAAACCAAAATAAAAGTTATTTAAGTTTGATAAACAAAAAAAGGTGCTCTGCTGTACAGTAGGGTACAAGTGGGTCCCTGTATAATCGATGGTATTAAATTTGAATTCAATGATATACTAACATCATTGTATAAGAAAAACGATTCTGAGCGAAGACGGTTAGTCAGCCTATGATATTACTAAGTATATTTGATGATACTAAGGTGAATAAAGCAATTTATGTATAACCTATTTACGTAGAATCTTGTTTTAAATTTTCAATCATTAGCTATAAAAGTTGAACATTTTATAAATTATTAACTATAAAATTATTATTAAATTTTAAATGTGATAAATTTTGTCAAAATTTGAATTTTAAATAATTATTAAAAAAAATTGTGCCTATGTATTTTTAATATTTTTCAAGTGTTGTTGTAACAATATATCAGGAGCTTTGCATTAAATTTTCAAGCTTTTTTACCATACAAATAAAATTTTATTGATATGAATAGAAAAAAAATATTAAAATATTGAAAACTGAAAATGTCCGTAAATAGCTCAAAAAGAATCAAAATATTTTCAAAACTATATGGTGTATAGGAAATGCTAATATAAAAATTTAGTAAAATTTTCAAGTATCTACAGTCATTCGTTTTTTAATTACAACAAAATTAGAAAATCGTTACACGAGAAATCGAGTGAATATCAAATGTTGTAAAAATATGAATTTCAAACGTTCATAAAAATTTAATTTGAGATTCTTGTAGACATTTTTTTTTTTTGATAAAGGTAGACAAACTTATGAGGAATCTCGCATTACATTTTCATATCTTAGATTTAAAAAGAAAATTTTTTATGAATTTCTAACTCGAAATAATTTGCAAATTTTCGTCATTTTTACGTATTTTGTCAATATTTGGAATTTAAATGCTTATAACAATTTGACCCCCCCAAAGTACCAACTAGATTCACTTTCCTATCAGAAAAGATACTGTTGAAGAAAATCCAAGCACTTTTACTGCCCTAAAAGATGATGACGGACAAAAAAAAATGAATTCGTGAATTCGTAAACAGTTGTAAATATTTGTAATGAAAAGAAAAATTCCGAACCAATAAACCACGATAGTTTATAAATGATTGGTGAAATACTGAAATAAACTGAGGGTGCTAGTTTGAAGCTTGCATATAAATGCCCATCTCATACTATGACATAATTTTATATACATAATTTATAACGTTTAATAGTACATTAGTATGATAGTTCTAATTATTATTAGTTGTTTCTTAAACCCAAGTTGTCCATTATGTCATACAATTTGTATGTTTTCTTTTTGACTCTGAGATACAAAAAAAAAAAAATTACAAAAATGTACCGCCCCCAAAAAACTTCCGCCCGGGGCAAATGCCCCTTTTGCCCCCCCCCCCCTTAATGCGCCCCTGGTTACATATTACATTTTGTTTCACATGTGTACTCAATGATTCAATTATCGGCTTAAATGCCTCACGGAAATAGTTTTCAGAATCTATAACACCACGTTTCATTTCCATTATTTTTCGTTGTATATTTTTTTTTGATGTTATTAAATTTTCCAACAAGACTTTTTCTTGATTCATTGTAAATAATAAATGTAATATACCTGTATCGTATGAATACAGATGACACTATGCAGATAATAACTGTGTGACGGTATATTTATATAAACACATAAAATTATTTTATTTTAATGAATGTATGAAAACCGCATCTATACCTTCCTTCATTCATTTCTCGAGTTTTATCGATAACCATAAACCCATAATAGCTATGATTCCAGCATAAATGAGAAATTTTCCGAAATTCTGAGAAATCCATATCTGCAGACGAATGATCGTTGAATATATGTCGTAAATTTGTATCATCTTGTTTCAGTATTATTAAAAGTTTGCGTTATCTCTTACAAGCTGTTTTGATATTTTAGAATATGTCTGTGCTAAATAAAATACGGAGCTGGCACCTGAATGCCTACCAATGCTAAAGTATTCTCTGATTACAGATTGTGGGCCGCATATCACATCATCAAAAATTATAATAGAATTTTTCTTCGTTAAGTTTGGTTATCAGCGCTTGTAAATATGAAAAAATTAGCACCTTTTATATCATCTATTATTTTTTTCAATAAAACATTTTTTTCCAGATTAGAGGTTTTCGAGTATAAATAAATATTTTCAAATCTTAACCCGTTTGCATGTGTGATCAGATTATACATTATATTTGTTTTTCCTGAGCCACTGGGACCAACTAGTATAGCACGTATAGTATCGGGTAATAACGAACCGTGTCATGATGGTTTTTTTACTACCCGAACATCTACATTTATTACATCTAATTTATCTTTCTGTTCAATCAAATTCATATTATTTTCATATAAATACTCAAGATTTTTTAGATTTATAGCCAGTTATAGATGGCGTGTTCAACTCGTAAGTACAATTCAAACAAGACTGGTAAAGGATTTGTAAACTCCCTTATAAATAGTCTCCCGTTCGAAGCCCATGTTTCAGGATATCAGTATTGTGGTCCTGGCACGAAATTAAAAAAGAGACTAGATCGTGGTGATAAAGGAATAAACCCATTGGATGCTGCTTGTCGTGATCACGATATTGTGTATGCAAAGAGTAAAAATTTAGACGATAGACATAAAGCTGATAAAGTGTTAGAAAATCGTGCTTGGGAAAGATTTAAAGCAAAAGATACTCCTAGAAAAGAGAAATTAGTTGCGTACGCAGTAACAAACGCAATGAAAGCTAAAAGAAAAATAGGTATGGGTTGTAAACGGAACAGTGCTATAAAAACAAATGGTATACTAGCAGCGAAGAAAAAAAGAATCTTAAAGAAAAAGAATGGTGGTAAAAGGTTGATTTTAGCACCAAGACAGTCAGGAGGTGTAATCCCCTTAATACCTATATTTACAGGATTGTCAGCACTTGGTAGTTTGATGTCTGGAGGTGCTAGTGTGTATAATGCGGTTCAAAATTCAAAAAGAAAAAAAGGCAGTGGTTTGAAATCAAACAAGAGTAAGTTAAAAAAAAAACTGATGATCAAGCTACCTGACAGACCGCTTTCGTCTCAAGATATTATAAAATATGTTGAAAAGTTGAAAATCAATCATTTCCGTGGAGTCTTTTCACGTGATAACTTACCTAAAAAACCGCATGCTATTGAATGTGGTATATTAAACTTGGATATTTCTTCAGGCGACGGAAGTCATTGGGTAGCGTTTTATAAAAATAAGGA